AGGGGATAATTTCCATGTAAAGTCTTTGAGTCATTGAAAATGTAATGTTACTTTACAATATAAGCTCTTTGTATTATAAGCTGACATTATAGGCACCTTCTTCCTCTATGTGTATAGTCCATGGCCAGTGCTTACACAGCATCAGTTAGGGTGCTTTGGATTGCAAGTCAGAAAAGCCAAGAAGACCTGAATCAAGCTTGAGTAAACAATTACTGGCTTTTACAACCTGTGAAAAGTCCATGGATAGTGATAACCTCAGGCAAGGCTTGATCCAGCAGTTTGATGACTTAGTTTCTTTCCATCACTCTGCATTGCTCTCCAATGCGCCAGCTCTAGTTAAGGCTGCTCTCCTTATGGTCTCAAGATAACTGCCAGCAGCTCTTGGGGCTATGTTTTCTCATTATGTTCATCAAGAAAGAGACTATTCCAATATTCCCAGAAAAAGCCCTGAGGTTCACGCTTCCTAGACTCAGGTCGTGCGCCAACCCCTAAACCAATTTCCACAGCCTTGAGAAAGGAATGTGCTGAATGACAAAGCCAGAGTCATCTAGACACCCGGCTGGAAAGCATGGGTTATGGGAAAAACTAATCTCCACTGTATACGTCTGAATGAGGGTCATGTTGTAACAGTAATAAACCTCCTCAAGCAACCTCTGGAGAAAAATAACACACGTTAAATGTGCATATCCTAAGGATAAAAATTGCATTTGGGAATGAGTTATTTACTATTAGATGGATAGAGATCATTGTTCTTTTGTTTATTCAAGACAGGTACTTAGATTGTAGGCCATCAGCTATAACTAAGGTAAAATGTCTTTGGATTCCATAAGTATTAGTTTCTTATAATAAGTCAAAATTGGTCAATAATTTAAGATGGTAAAAAAAAATCTCTGTTCAAAACATGGAAGTTTAGTTTGATAACAATTAGATCTATGGGATCCTTCAAGGGCTGGGTAAGTAATGCAGCAGGATTTGGCCCACAGGGTGGCGGTGGTTTCTGGGTACCAGCTAGCAACTGATAGTACGGTGTGGATTTCAGCAGGCCCTGCTTCCTCTCAGCGATAAGCGGAGGTGTAGCAACCTGAGACAGGTAACATTTGCAGCATTGACGCTTCCTGTCCATGGCAGTGCGGCCTCATTCCGGTCTGTAATGGACTCCTTCCCTATGAACAGCCAGACACCTCTCATTACTACCCAGACCTGCTTTCACTCTGCCAGAACTTTCTTTAGCGGGACCATTAAAATTCCTTAGATTATGAGGCCTCAGAATTGCATAACGCTGTACTGATTCCTGGCAGGGAAAGCGCAGTCTGATGGAAAAGCCACGTCAGACGCGGCTCTGGGAGCTTGTTGTACCCCCGGGAAGTGCTAAGCTCTTTGTCCCGGGTAGCCCCACGTGAGCAGGAATTCAAGATAATGGCCAAAGCACACTTCTTTCAGGACGTCCCATCCAACCTCTCTGCTATGGATTCTGCTGCAAATGTACCCCCTCTTTTTCTGGCACAACACACGCCCCTCCCCAGCCCCACAAGGGTGTAAGATTCATCCTCTCCAGCATTAACACAAACCGATGATGGCAAACCAACCAACAAAACTAGCTCGATTGAACAACCACCGGCCTGTTTCCCTTAATTTCTCCAAAACGTCTATCTTTTTTTTTTTTTTTTCCTTTTGGGCTACCATTTTTAGGGAACCTCAAAGAAAGGTTTGTTTTGCCCATTCTTCCTTAGAACATATGATATCAAACATATCATGTTTAGAGTTTTGTTGCCAATTTTTATTTAGTTCCTTAGAGCAAAGGAACAAAACGGAGTTAACATTTATGAATGGCTGGACAGTGAACCTGGTCTTTGCTCATTTCAATGCTTGCTCAGTGTCTCCGTGTGGGACCAAGTCCAGGTAGGTGTGCCATCTGGATGCTTTTCCTAGACTCCACTGGCCCGGCCTTCCCCGGCAGGAGGCAAATGTGGTTGTGGCCCGAGTAGGTGCAGGGACCTCTTCCTCATCTCTGGTTAGAATCCTCTTTCAATAGAGTTGAGAGAACAAGATTGACCTGCTGTTTTATTTGTATTTGAATGGAGGACTCACTGTCTCTACATTCTAGAAGGCGGTGATGAACCCGACTCCGCTATGACTCAGAGCCCATTGGCATGGCCACCCTCAAGGAGCAGTAAACATGAGCTCGACCCAGTCCTGCCCGCAAAGAGCTTTTAGTTAATTCTAGAGACTCCACTCTACTTCTCTCTCTCCCTATCTTACATAGTACTTTTATCCAATGTTTTTTCAAGACAATAATCAAAAGAACTTTTTTCCCTTCTCTTCTCCAACCTTCATCTGCAACTCAAACTAATGCATTTGGCAACAATTCTGTCCCTCTAAGTCTACAGTAGATTATCTGAGTTCTACCTTTCCTGTAACACTATCATCCCTGCCCATTGTTGTGTAACTTGTGGAGCCTGTGGGCAGTGTTGTCAGGTGTGGTCATGTGTCTTGCTTGAGCCAGTGTCACGGGAGCTGTAGGGACAGTGGGCCAGTCTGGAGCACAGGTTTTTAGAGACAGCTTAAAACTTGAAGAGGTGGTTGCCTGATTCTACCAGCTTTCTGCCTTGATCCAAATACAGGCTACACTTTAGTTTGGGTTTTAGAATGACAAGACATTAAGAAGAGCTGCAGCCGGTCAATGTGGCTCAGTGGTTGAGCATCGACTTATGAACCAGGAGGTCTTGGTTTAATTCCTGGTCAGGGCACATGCCTGGGTTTCTGGCTCAATACTCAGTAGAGGGCGTGCAGGAGGCAGTCGATCAATGATTCTCTCTCATCATTGGTGTTTCTAGTGGTTGGAACTGGAGAGCATATATATATGAAGAGCTACAGCCCTGGTCAGTGTGGCTCAGTTGGTTGGAGCGTCGTCCCATGTATCGAAGGGCAACATGTTTGATTTCTGGTCAGGGCACATGCCTAGGTTTTGGGTTTTGGGTTTTGGGTTTGATCCTCGGTTGAGGAGAGTATGGGAGGCAACCGATTGATCTTTCTCTTTCTCTCTCCCTCTCTTTTCCTCTCTCTCTAAAATCAATAAAAACATATCCTCGGGGAGGATAAAAAAGAAAAAGAAAAGAAGAGCTGCATTTAACCCACAGCCACCAAACTGATGTGAGAAATTAAAAATAATATAAAAATGTTTTCATAATCCATTGAGAATTTTAGGGTCCTTTGTTCCTGAAGTTGAGACAATACAAAAACCAAATCAAAAACAATAAATAGACCTAAATAGACACTTTTCAAAAGAGGACATACAGAAGGCCAAGAGACATAAGAAAACATGCTCAAAGTCCCTAATCATCTGGGAGATGCAAATCAAAACAACAAAAACAACAATGAGATACCATCTCACACCTGTCAGAATGGCTATCATCAACAAATCGACAGACGACAAGTGCTGGGGAGGATGCATTGCTGGTAGGAATGCAGACTGGTGCAGCCACTGTGGAAAACAGTATGGAGTTTCCTCAAAAAATTAAAAATGGAACTTCTATTTGACCCAGTAATCCCACTTCTAGGAATATATCCTAAGAAAACAGAAACACCAGTCAGAAAGACTATATGCACCCCTATGTTCACAGCAGCACAACTTACAATAGTTAAGATTTGGAAACAGCCTAAGTGCCCATCAGTAGATGAGTGGATTAAAAAACGGTGGTACATCTACACAGTGGAATACTACGCTGCTATAAAAAAGAAGGAATTATTACCATTTGCAACAGCATGGATGGAACTGGAGAGCATTATGCTAAGCGAAATAAGCCAGTCAGAGAAAGATAAATATCACACAATCTCCCTCATTGGTGGAGTATAATGAACAATATAAACTGATGAACAAAAATAGAACCAGAGACATAGAAGCATTGAACAGACTGTCCAGCCTGAGGGAAGGTGGGGGCTCAGGGGGTAAGAGATCAACCAAAGGACTTGTATGCATGCATATGAGCATAACCCATGGACACAGACAGGGGGGTGAGGGCATGTGCTGGGGAATGGGAGCAGCTGGGGAGAGGTCAATGGGGGAAAAAGGAGACTCATGTAATACTTTAAATAATAAAGAATAGAAAAACAATAAATGGAAGATATAATAAATGAAACAGTCACAATTCCCAGTCACCTTTATTTATATAAAACTATATTAAATAAATTATCTCAATATATACAAATAGAACAATATCACCTCCATAAATAGAAAATCCCCATATATAAAACCTTTAAAAAATTATATAAATATATACAATGTTGGCCATATAAACTTGAAGTACCTTAAATCATAAACTTTATGTAGTTTATATAGTTTCATAAAAATATAGCTAGCTGTCAAGTGTTTAATCAATAGCATTTAAGTCAGTTAAAGTGCTAAACTGTAATGCATATGCCCAAAGTTGTCAGGCTTGGTCAGGCAAAGTGGAAGTCTTCTGCATTTAACACATGCATATGTTTTGCCAACTATTTTGAACCTCCAAAAGAACTCCTAAGAAAAAATAAAGAACCTAAACTCCACATTTTAAAAGGACAGACACATGTTAGAAAAGTCCACCCAATTTCCATTTTACTCTCCCACATGGTTTGAAGTCAGCATGTTGAAAGTATTCCAAAAGTCCACCCAGGAATTTTTAAGGCATTTGTTCATTTGTTTTTGTTTAGATAACCTGGTTTCGTCTTGAGTGTAGAAAATACAATCTAAAGCATGATATGTGCAAAAGGTGCCATAGTGTTAAAAAATAAATTTAAAAAACTTGGAATTGGTTGTACCGTTCATTACATTCCAAAGTGACTAGTGCTGGTCTCGAAACCAGAATGCTAATCATGAGAACAGTCAGATAAAGAACTTTCTTTGGGCCCAAGAGTCTCCATGCTCCAAAAATTCATTTTTGTTTCCATATATTCCATCATTTTAAAAGTTCTTTGTCACAGTGCAATATAAACTCTGCAGAAGTCAGCAGCTCTAATGTCACGTGCTTTATGCAACACGGAGCGGGGAGTTCTCCTTGCCACTTTCCCTTGCTCTGGCCTTCCTGCGCTTGTACAGACACAGGGCCAGGGTGATGATGAAGATGATGGCCACGAACACCACTGCTCCGATGATGAAGAACATGTCTGAAAAACAAAAGTTACCAAGTCAATGTAGAGAGAGAGCTCAACTCCCATTTATCGGTGGACAGAACTGAGGGCTTAACTCCAAATTACACCATCCTGCTTTTGCGTAATTTGAAATTTCTTTCCTCTACTCTTTCCACCACAACGCATTTTGGTTAGGAAAGAATTTGTCACACCCTAGATGTTGTAGGGCAATTGACAAAGGCCAAAAGCTTAAGTAAACTGGTTAATGTTCTTAGTCTAGAGAAGGTACACATAGACGGAAGTAAGAACAGCTGTTAGAAAGAATTGGCTAAAAATAGTGCATAATGCTGAGTTTGGTGGCAATGATTACAGTAGAAGATGAACTATCAGTGCAAAGAGACACACAGAGGGCTACCAGAATTCAGCTGAGATGATAACTGGCTAGGGCAATAAGAAGGCTTCCGAGTGGAGGTGGCAATTGCAATGGCTCTCAAAGGACGCATTTCTGCAGATACAGAAGAGACCTGGGAGGCAGCGGTCGGGATGTGCACAAAGACAGAGGCAGCGGAACTCGAGTTGGCTTTAGAAAGATGGATGTGAGGGCTGTGGGTACGATGGCCCAGAGGGTGCAGGACCAGAGAGGAGAGTCCTTTCCTTCTGTCAGTGTCAATAAATGGAGGAGAATTTATTTTAAAGTGTTTTTAAATTTAAAATGTCTTCTTAGCAAGGAGCTAGGTCATCATTACTATCTTTTGACATTTAATCCCTGGAAGTACTCAGAGCACTTTCTTTACAAAGCCTGGAGAGAAACTCCTAGGCTTACAGCTTCTTGGACATACGTGTCTACACACCCACAGCAATTCCAGTTAGAAGCCTCTCCTCACTGTGTGTGGACCCCGTGTGTGCACATGCATGGACGGACACACGTACATGGGTATATGTGACAGACTGAATCCCTTCCCTTCATGGGTTAGACTTTACAGCCCACCGTGGGTGCTCACAGCTGGTCCAGATGCTCTCCCCAAGCCCCAAAGATTAGAAGTTAAGTATGAAAACATGCCCAGAGAAATCTGTGATTGACACTAAACCCCAAACACGGACTATGTGCCTAGTACTCAGCAGAGAGCTTAACACGTGGTAGGCGCTCAAGAAAATACTCGCTACTATAAGGGAACAACATAGAAACATTTCTAAAGGCCTAAAATTATGAGTAACTTCCAAAAAAAAACCACACAAAACCAAGAAAAACCAAGACACTTTCTCTCTGAACAAAGGACACCCTGGTTCTGCGGCTGGAGCTGGCCCTCTGGAGGGCACCTGTGCCTCCCACCTGCCGGGCAGAGCCACTCACCTTTGAACACACCCTTCTCGGGGCTGGTGCACTCAATGGGGCTTTCGGGACTCTTCTGGTTAGCTTTTCGTGATGCAATCACGGCTTGAACATTGAAACAGTAGTTTTGTCCTTTATCCACATCAATCAAAAACTCATTAGTGTCTGTCTTGACCATTTTCTGTTAAAAGATAGAGTTCTTAATTCATCTGGCCTCCAAGTGAGTTCTTTCTCCTTTACCAGGTCACTGGGGAAGCAAAAGCCTGCATGGACACATCTGACATACACAGGATTAGAAGTGACTTGGCTAAATATTCCTCATGCTAACTGCTGAGGGTGCTTTTTCCAAGACTAGAGATATCCAACTTAGCCTCTGTAGGAGATGTTTGCAGTAAGGGAAAGGAAGGATGCCGTATTAATTGTTGAAGGGAAAACAAATTTTGTCTCTGTGATCCTCAATAGAGAGAGAAATGTGAGACCTGACAGGAACTTTAGAGATGATCTGGTCGAGCCTCTTGGCTGAGGAACCTGGGTATCCAAGGGGGCCTTGCCCAAAGTCACAAGGTCACTCAAAGTCACGGGTAGAACCAGGACAGCAAGCACCCCTCTCACCCCACCGCACTGCCCTCTCAACCACCCTATTCTGCTACTTCTGAATTGGGGCAGAATTGGGTTGTAAAATCAAGGACCTACGATTTAAAGCAAGTCATAAAAACCAGCAGAAGAAATCCTCACCTTTCCTGTACTTGAAGCTTTCCAGTAGGAAAGTGTGTAACTTAAGTCCTCGCCAAAGACATCCCGGAGGCTCAGGAATGTGCCATTCCTTCTGACTAAGGTCCGAGGATCCTGTACTGTCACATTCAGTTTTGTCCCAATTTGTTCAAAACTCTGAATTGCTGGCCGTCCGAGGTTTGCTAAAACAGAAAATAAACTTCGTTGGAACCAAAGAATTCCCTACAAATAGAATCCCATTTAGTTATCACAGTTAATACCCTGGTCATCCCTCATAAAACACCTGCACAGAACCCGCTCCCTAGCAGGAGTGAGCCAAGTGGCACCAAGCCGAACCCCAAGACCTGCTATAGAAGCGCTCCTCATTGGAAATATAACTGGAGCCACCAGTGTCAGTTACATTTCCTTGTAATCACATTAGAAAATGTGAAAAGGAGCAGGTGAAGTGAATTCCAGTAATATATGTTATTTAACCCATTATAGTGAAAATATTATCATTTCAACAGGTAATCCATTTAAAACTTGTGGAGATGTTTTTCAAAATCTAGTGTGTATTTTTACCCTTATAGCATTTGCCACATTTCTAGGGCTCAATAGCCACACGTGGTTAGAGGCAACTGTATTAAACAACACAGTTGCACAAGATTCCATATTTTAGGTAAAATAAATGAGGGGCTGTGGGAAAGCCCGGGAGATGTCCTGAAACCTCAAGGAACCTCTGTTAAGCCTTGGGACTCTGGAGGGCACAATGATCCCATGTGTTTTGGTTGAATAACAATAAAATCAATCCCAAATAATTTAACACAAATTATGTGCAAGTTATGTGTAGGCACATGCAAAATAAATATGCAAACTATATTTTATCTTGTACCAAAAAGAGACTTGAAGTGGCTTATAAAAATTACAAGAACTGTCACAGAAAACCAAGTGGGTGCCATCAATGGAAGGAGGACAATCAGTAATCCGGGGAGGAGTTACCAGAGGGGGCATGGATGTGGTGTCTAATGCCCAGCTGGGTGCCGTGACAGACACACTAGCGAAAGACAGGCTCTGGCAAACAGGGGCTCAGGAAAGGCAGCCAGATTCACCTGGGCTGAGGCTACCTTCTATTTCAACCCTCCAAGTAGATACCAGAGGGGAAAGGTTGGCTGCCTGTCCCTCTGCCCCTTCTCACCATTCCCGCCTCCAGAAACTCTCCGCTCTCACTGGGTGGTCAGAGGGGTAGATAGAAAAGCACCGATAGCACGACCCTTTCACTTTAACCTTTCATTCTAGGTCTTCCTCAAAGACCTTTGAAGATTTAAAGACCTTAAAAGACCTTAAAAGATTTCACCCTTCCTAGTGTGTTACAGGTTTATTGTAGTCAGGCCAAAAAATGTAATCTCCCACTTGGCCAGGATCCTGTGCATTCCCCTGGGAGATACTAAAGGGCTGCTTACTGGGGCAAAGGCGGGGGAGGAAAGCACTCTGCACTTTCAGAACCTGCACGAAGCAGGCAGGCTGGGAGTGGCTGGGCAAGCGCCTGGCACAGCACGGGGCTCAGCCTTGGCCAGATGAGGTCAGCAAGCCTGACTCTGGATCAGAGGGAAACTGGACTTTCCCTGAGCAGTTGTGACTGTGAAAAACTGTAAGCTGGGACTCTGGTCTGCTGATGGGATGGAAATGGTGTGTGTGTGTGTGTGTGTGTGTGTGTGTGTGTGTGTGTGTGTGTGTGTATGAGTGTATATGTATGTAAATAAAATATATATGGAGAAACACTGAAACCCCAGTCCTGGTGGAAGGCCTAGTCCCACAGGCCCCATCCGGCCTGTCACTGGCACGGTCTGGGGATAGGCTAGGGGAGAAAGTTACTTGATAACAGTGTTATCAACTCCAAAGTTCACGCTCTGGGAACCTCCTACCACATCGGAATGAGTGAAGAGGGCTGGGGCACTTTATGGTTCCTGAGAAAAAAGATGTGGTTCTGAAGAAATCTTGTTTTACCTACAGGCCCCTAAGGGTCATGAGCTCACAAAATGATTCGGGAGCTTATAAAAATGAGAATGAAACTGATCTACTTACTCTCTAAGTAAGGAATGAACTCCGGGGAGTTTGTGTACTTGGGCTCCCCAGTGTAACCGGTGGCATTTGCCGGTGTGGAAAGGACCCGCGCTGAGTACGTCTGCTTCACGTCTTTCACAATCTCATCAGTGACGTCACACTCTGTGTCTGTGATGGAGTAGCATTTGCTTTTCCAGTTTCCTAATCTATGGCTAAAGGAAGGAAGAGAAACGGAACATTAGGATTTGTATCCAACAAGACAGATGGCTTTCTGGCTGTGGTGCTGTTACAATAATAGCATCCATAACCACTTGTGAGCAGGCACTCCCATGCTAAGCACTTTAGATGTACTGGAGTCCTCACAGTAACCTGGGGTGGCTCTGTAATCATCTCTCTCTTCACAATAAGGTAACTGAAGCAAAATGAGATTAGGTGACCAGCTCAGTCACACAACTGACCTAACTTTAAGCCAGACAACAATTTTGGGGGTCTGTGCTCTTAACCATTTTAAATATCTTTCTTAGAATGTACACGATTTTTTATTAAGGCCCAACTATTTATTACTTATTATCTTGTATTATATTCTATTTATTATAAACATTCTATATTCTTTGTAGAATATTGTCAATGTAGTAATAATGGAATCTATATAATATATTCTACATATTACATTCTATCATGACAATTATTGGTGCGGTTATTTAATATTTATTGAATCTACTATATGCAGGTACTATACTAGACCCTTTACATATTACTTCATTTGATATGATCCTTCCAAGAAGGTATTGAATCCTTTTTACATACAAGGATACTGAAGCTCGATATGCTAAGTAATTTGTACAAGGTCATGTAACTAATGGGGTGAGAACTGGGTGTGTTCATCTCATTCTGCTACATGCCTCTCACTTTTTTTTTTTTTTTTTTTACAAGATGTGAATACTTCCCATTAAAGATCACAGAATAACAATAGTATCTCTCTCACAAAGCCTGAAAGACTAAGAGGCTAAAAGATCTTCCTTCATTGAAGAGGAAATTATTTAAAGAACTTCTATAAGTATAAAATTGCTTTAAAGGACCCAAACAATCCATAGATAACTGTCACTGCGACTTGATTCACACACTTCTGTCCTCTCTAAATTGACAGCCACACTTCTCTTCAGCATCATCCACTGCCTCAGCCCCGTCCGTCATTTAGGGCCTTGTTCCAGTCCCACTTTCCCCGGGAATCTCCAGATCTTGCTCAGATCGGATCTCTCCCCTCCCTGTTCCCAGCACTGATATCTTCACTAAAGCACTTCATGTTGAATACCGTCTGCATGGTACCAGGGGTCCACGCCCTTGTGTTTGCTGTTACGCAGCAAGGCTGTAGGGCTTATACACAGCAGGCCTTGCTCAGTATTAGATGGTTTGCATTTACAGGTTGAATGAGGGGGAAAACAAACTGAATTCAATTGTCCAAATCCATGCACATGAGCTGTAAACAGGTTATTTTTCAAAAATCGGAACTAAATAACACTCTTTGTTCTAAAATTCACAAGCTAACATTGATACAGAAAGATTTTGACTTCTTAGATTCCTCTAATTTTCTGTGACAGAAGTAGAGAGGCTGTTTTAATTCTGGAGTGAAAAAAGTGAAGGAAACATGATGATTCTTCATCCTATGGCAAAATGTCGTTCAGAGAACAAGAAAGAGACTGCTGGGCTTCGAGACTACTTTCCACCTGACAGATCCGTATTTTGTTTCTCCCAGCTCACATATAGGAATTACAGTACTTAATTTCACCGAAACTAGTGAAATCAGTAAAGCTGCGTGAACAAGTAATAAAGGGGCAATTTTGTAGTAAGCTCCTCTGAACACTGTTATCAGCACTAACATTTTAAAAGCATTCAAGGATCCTCTAGGTATTTATTGCAAAATCCCCTGACTTGGAAATAATAAAAGTCCTGCCTCAATTACTAAAAAATTCCAATGGAATCAAGACTCATCAATGTAGGAAAAGGTTGTTTTCTAGGAGCTTTGGAAGTTCCGTTTTAGAATTCAAACCTTCCCATGGAATCAATCTTACAGGTGATGTTTCAGTGCTTGAGCCAATAGCACTTTGCAACCGTCACTGAAACTATTTCCAAATGGGAAAAATACAGTTGGAGCTCCAAGTAGGGGCTGCAGGCCCAGCAGTGGTGCCCCATGGCTGGGGACAGGCCAGTGGTGGGTGCAAAGGAGCAGCAGGTGCAGAGGAGAAGCAGGTGGAGATGCTGCCTTTAGAGAAGGAAAACTGGGAGGGAAGGCAGCCCACTGAGGAGATGGAGCCTCACAGAAAAACCTGAGGAATAAGGAGAAACTCGTGTTTTGGCACCAACCCTCACATCAGCTGCGGCAGACCCGCCAGAGAAGGTGGTGGTGGTAGAATACTGGGCAGACCTTGGTTCCAGACCCAGCTGGGCCCTCACCATCAAGACACTCATGGATTAATCCCTCACCTTCCTAGGGCAATAATTTCCTTTCCTATAAAATGACTGCTGTGGTCCTTTTCACCAACACTGAAGAGTGAGGTCTGCAGCAGGGTGGAGGGACTGCTCTCAGGTCCTCTAGCACAGGGGTCCTCAAACTTTTTAAACAGGGGGCCAGTTCACTATCCCTCAGACCGTTGGAGGGCTGGACTATAGTTTTTTTAAAAAAACTATGAACAAATTCCTATGCACACTGCACATATCTTATTTTGAAGTAAAAAAACAAAACGGGAACAAATACAATATTTGTATTTGCATGTGGCCCGCGGGCCGTAGTTTGAGGACCCCTGCTCTAGCACATGGGTGAGAGTATGAGATCTGGGCTCTGCAAGAACCCCGTGTCCACGGAGGCCCCCAACCAGCAGCTTTGCATTAGGATGTTTGCACACAGGGGCTGCGTTCACTTGAATATCAGCCCTGGGAAGTCCAAGAACTGAGAGCTAACAAAGGCTTATGTTTAAAAATCCGGGAAACCATAATATGTTCCCACATGCTCACTAAACATAAGACTGAATATATTTCAGAGGTAAGCATTCCTCCTAAAATGTTATTTGCAATCTCCAGAAGGAAGTATCTACCAAAGTAAACTTCAGCTCTTGACTAGTGGAATATGAATTGACAACTTTGACCACAATCATAATTATGACTTCAGGTTATGAAATTCCTTTCTCACCCTCCCTCTATCTATATAAGCATTTCAGTGCACACACACACACACACACACACACACACACTTCTCTGTGGGTTTGGCAACAGTCATCATGAAGTTCATTTTGTAAAACAAGAACATCTACCTAAAAGACTGCCTCCGTATGTAGGACTTGCATTCCTAATACTATAAAAAGGCTTGACAAGCTAAACAATACAAAACAAAAAGCAAAACACCTTAATTTTAGCCAGTGATACTTTTGTGCCTTTATACAACGTGTTAAAATAATTTCCACAGCTGCTCTCCTCTAATTAATAAGATCTCTTCCAAGTCTCCTAGAACCTTTCAGAAACAAGAAACTTACAAGAATATAGAGAAAACCATCAAGGAAGACATGTCCACATTTAGACTGAGTATACTGAATTATGGGCTCTTAGGGAGAACTGTCAATCAGAGAAGCCCTGACAGCTGAGCCTGCAGGCAGAGGAGTATTTCTTTCCAGCAGGGTGAGTCACAAAATTGACCTCCTCTGTTAGCACGTATGCAACTGAAGTTTGAAACATGAGTCCGAGGATGAATGCATCCAACATTGCTACAGGGCAATGTATGTATCCAAACTCCTGCACACCTCTTCCCTTCCCTAACACGTTAGAGCAGGCTTACAGTCTAGACAGCACGGAAATAGACGGGTGCGCTTAGGTGAGATTAGTTATCCATCCAGAATCATATCTATCAGTGACATCAAGCCTTGCTCAATAAGGTTCACCTCTCCATAGCTTCTCCTCCACTTAGGAATTTTTCCATCATCTCCAAAAGCAATTAAAATGTTTTATCAGTTTAAGGGCTGGAAATGTGGCAGGTTTAGCAGAGTATGACAAATTACCATGTCATCTATCCAATAACCTCAACCATCAGTCAGCTTTAAAGACATTTAAAGTAGAAACATCAAGACAGCACAGGGAAGGAGAAACATCAGAAGCCATATTTTCCTCTTTTTGTATCTAACTTACCTTATCTGAACAGTGTAGACATGATTGATGGGTTTGGGTTCCCACTCCAAAATTGTCTTGAAATTCGTTGATTTCCAAGTTATATTATATGCTACCACCACACCTGTAGTGCCTTTAAGCAAAAGAGAAACAGCTATTGTTACATGAACTTCTCAGCACATGATTTCACGTTGAAGGTATAAAACACCTTACCCTCTAAACATCACCATAAACCTCACAGTAATTTTTTTTTCCAACTATGAAAACTTCATTACTGAATTATCCAGAGAAAAAAATATTCAAAATTTTCCCAAACCCAGAATTTCCTCATGGTAGGTTCTTCCTTGTAATGTAAGGAAACGGGCAAGGATCTTGAAATTATTGTTTGAAATCATTCACATGGGACTCCCTCAGATAACCTGACCCAGAAGCATAGCCCAGGAGCCATCAGGGCCCTGGGGGGTCCCTGACCCAGCTGGGGGAGCCTAGGACTCCAAGGTTGGACTCTGGCAGGGAAGGCCAGCTAGGAAGGGTCTTCCATAAGTTATGGAAAAGGGCAAATCCCACATGTGTGAGAGCAGTTAGGGCTGCATATAATGAAAAAGCCAAATCTTGATCCTTTTCATTTTCACCAACATGTCTCTATCCTGAAACGTCAGTAGACACCTAGCAGATGTTGGGCCTGTCACACCGGAGGATGCTTGTACACCGGTTAGGATGCTTGGTTATTAAGGTCTGCGTTTTTAAGACTGGGCAGGTCAGTCGCACAGGCATACGGAGGCTTGGACAATGTAACGACTGCTTCAATCCAAGCGACATTCTACAACAGGATTGCCTCTCAGTCTAAACTAGGACGAGCAAGACCACACGGAGGGCCGCTCTTTATTAGGTGCACACTTAAGGATACTATCCAAACCACTGCACGCTGACCCGTGCAGGTGCGGACCCAAGTACCACCGTCAAGATCACTGGGAAGCTCTTTCCCTAAAAGCTGGAGCCACAACTGCACTTACACAACTACGCATCTCCCAGTAAGCATCTCTAGCAGATGCAGGCGGGTCCCAGGCCCCAAGCGCCTACCCTCCAACTCGCGCCCAGGTTGGTTCAAACGCGGGTGGGTGAGCGCGGCTGAGTTGGGCAGGCGCCGGGGGCACCTCCAGGCAGCAGGACGAGCCCGCTGTCAGCCAGGACTGATCCCCGCTTCGGACAGAGCGCCCCAGGAATTCAGGGAGGCGGGTGCCACTCACCTGAGGCTCCGGCCACCTGGACAAGGACCCAGCCGAGGAGGAGTGTCCTAGAGACAGCGGCCTCGGGGCAGGTCACCCGGGGTCCGGTGGGAGACGCCATGTCCACGAGTTGCTGGCGAGGTCGGGAGGATTCGTCGCGCCCCGAAGGCTGGAGAGGTTGGGCTGAATGCGCCCCTGGGGAAAGAGCGGGAAGGGGCGCGGGGAGCCGAGTCTGGAGAAGCGGGTGCCGGGCGCGCTATAAAGAGCCGCGCGGACGCCCGCGCCTCCGCGATCGCGGCGCCCGCCCTGCCGACTCCCCGCCCCGCCCGTCGTCGCCGGCAGCCGCGGAGGGCGGCCCTACGATCCCCTGCCCCGCCTCCTCCGCTAGGAAACTCCAGGACCCTGAAAGGAGTGATTCAGCCGTGATTCAACGCACCGCCCAGCTCCGAGTGGCCCTCGGTCGCTGGAGGCTCCAGGTGCCCAGGGGAACCAGGTCTCCCAGGGCCCCTGACCCTCAGCCCCCGGACCCCAGGCCATGGGGGCCGGCGCCTCCGCCGTCCATCCCGAGCGGACAGCAGGTCTGTGGAGGGGAGAAAGAGCAGAGCGTTGGAAAGAGTTCTCGGGATGGAGGACAGGGCTTCTTCCTTCCACTTGGTGACAGAGTGTGGTCCGGGCTCGGGGAGCGGCAGCATTTACCAGGTTTAATAGCAAGTACAGGCTCCCGGCTCCCGCTCAGCTCCCACCTCGAAGGGCATTTTCCCCTGCACTTTGCCCACGTTGGCGCTGGGCCTGGAATCTGTAGCCCAGTGATGAGCAGGGAGGGCCCGCTCCCAGCTGCTGTTTCGTCTTCTGCCCAGAAAGCAAGGGTACCTGGCCTTCCTACCCCCAGGCCCTTAGCGTGGGCCCTTTAAGGTGGTGCAGATGCAGGTGTCTGCCGCCCACAGGTCCCAAGGTCAGTTGACCCCTGAACGACCCAGGGTAGTGACCGCGGAAAAGCAGTCCCGGACCTGGCATTTTGCCCCTGGGAGAGATCCAGGGCGTCATCTGCAGCCCTGTGGTTGCAGAAAGGATTGTTCTCACATTGAGGAAGACATCTGTGGAACCGAGTTCCGCTCAAGTGCGGAGAAACAAAAACGAAATGAAATTATGTAACCACATTTTAGTGCCGCTAGTGTTCAGTGTCGGGTTTTCTGAATTAGTTTCTGGCTTCCTCTTCTGGGCTCTGCTGGAGAATGGTTAAGCAAGAGACTGTCCGTCTCATTCTACTGAGTGGCATTGTACGCGGGCTTGTCAAAGTACTTTCCATCATTCGTTATCCCTCCAAGACAGGCTGGAGAGCTTGTAGGGGGAGAGGGGAGTCTTTTCTTTCTCACCTTCTCCCCCATCTATTTTCCCTAGGGAAATTAGCCTTGCATTTTAGTGCATACTGCACACACATATCCGTGTAGCCTGCTGAGCCAGAGCATTGCCCGCATTAAAAAAAGAAAGAAAGAAAGAAAGAAAGAAAGAAAGAAAGAAAGAAAGAAAGAAAGAAAACTTTGTAAAAGTTTTAGTTTCTCCCTTTGCCTGAACTGAAATAGCACATCCAGGTTTAGCTCTTGTAGTCCTTCCGTCCTGGAAGCGGTGTGTTGCACTTGCTGGTTTCCCCTTTGAGCTCTCTTCCAACTCTAAAACCTGCAACATTTATATTTGCAAAACTAAGCCATGCAATCCTCCTTTTCACAGTCTCTGGCCTGAGTCATTTTCTAACAGATCTTTAGCTGCGTGTGGAATGTGATTTTTTTTTTTCCTCTGGAGTGAAGGTAACGAGGAGAAAATGTTGCACATCAATCAAGTATGTTAGGGGACCCAAGGAATTGTTGCTATGTCTACTATTCCAGTTGGAGCTACCAACTGTCTTGAAATCATAAAGGGCTTTAAGCCATGTCAAGATCAGCATTTTGATAAGAAAAATATGTTTGACATTAGGTACCTTAAAGGTTGATAGATCACGTGAATATTTATTTTGCACACTCACTAAAATTATCAGACAGAGAAGAGAGGAATTTCTTGGGTGTTTGCATAGCTTTTGGAGTAAATATAAAATAACATTCTTCAATATTTTAATAATGCTAAAAATTATTACTGTTTTTAAGAAGAAGAGGGAGAAAATTGGCTATGATAAACAACATCTCATAGCAAATTTTTTTCTTGGTTGATCAGACTATGGCTAGATGCTCAGCACCGTTGAAAGTACATTTTTAAAAGTTGCACAGGAACAAATTTATTGTTAAATAATTTCATTAACCTTACCGAATTTTTAACATCCCCTTCAGTAAAGTCAAGCTTAGCAGTTTTTACCAATGTTCCTTCCAATATGATACATCTTGGAAACTCTGAGAAGTTTGAAAAATTCCTCAGCTTTAGTGACAATCAGGCCGCCTAACCAAGCCCTTTGTGATTAGATATTAGAGTGTCAGAGGGCAGGAGGGGACCTCATAGACATCCTTTTAAGATGAGAATCCTGCGGCCACCTGGCCTGAGGGAACCAGCTTGTCTCATCTTCTGGCCCCAGGAGATTTCTTTCCATTGCCACGCTTTCTTCTACTCCCACTGCATGAAGTACGATGGGGCTATAAGCCCAGGTTTATTGGATTAATTGGTACATCTGTAGGCACTTAACAATGCTCTTCAGTTGGCAAATAACAAACTTGCAGTTTGGGGTACTCACTGTTCTTCAGCAGAAACATCCTGATGGTTATTCCTTGAAATATACGTGCATGGAGACAATGGAGAAGAGGTTGCATTGTCTATGAATAACCAGTGATGAAATATGGTTGATAAGGAGTCGGAAGATGACTGGGGTGATGTTGCAGCCCTTCCTCTGTACTTTTATAGTGCTCACCACCAATTTCTCCACCTTGACTGTTGCGGGCTTCACTCGCTTTCCACTGTTTGTTGTCTGTCTTCCCTACTACAGCTCCTTGGGAGAATAAGGAGGGTTTTTTTTCTTTAAATTTCTCGATCCTTTGCCCCATTACCAGCACATGGTAGATTTACATATATGTATATATTGATTTCAGAGAGGAAGGAAGAGGGAGAGAGAGATAGAAACATCAATGATGAGAGAGAATCATTGATGGGCTGCCTTCTGCACGCCCCACACTGGGGATTGAGCCCACAGCCCAGGCATGTGCCCTGACCTGGAATCAAACTCGACCTCCTGGTTCATAGGTCGATGTTCAACCACTGAGCCATGCCGGTCGGGCCACATGGTAGACTTTGAACACATTTTGAATCAATGACTGCCTTTGGAACCATGCATGCAGCCAAATATTTTCATTGGGATTCAAGAGATGAAATTTGTCTTTGAAAATTTTCTGTCTCAAGGCTGAGTGTTCCAAAATGCTCAAATTGGTAAGAAAATATAAATCCATTGTGGACTTCAAGGTATCACTTGACAGCAAACTTCAGCTGTCTGTCTAGGGATTTCTGATCCTTGCTATGCGGGAAAATCTAATCAGCAGGAGAGGTAGCTGAGGAGCAGAAAACAAATGCAGAAGTTTGGAACTGTTAGCATTTTCTTAAAGACTGGATTCTAGCATGAATCAGAAGAACTTTCAGCCAATGATGAAGCTGTCGATAGCTCTCTTTGCATGGCAAGGTTTGGTGACTTTTCAGAATGAATTGCACAAAATGTATATCTCCCCAGGAAAGGGTGATAGCAGGTGAAATTGAGAGTAATTCATATACTAGTAAAACTATTACATGCATATGAAATGGCGAAAAGAGCAATGAAACCATTTTTCCCCAAATTCAGATAAAAGGAAAAATATGAGAAAAGACCAGAGGGAATTAAGAGTGGGAACACAGCCCAGATGGTGTGGCTTAGTGGTTGAACTTGGATCCATGATCTAGGACAGGGTGGGCAACCTTTTTGTGAGTGCTAAAGCTAGTAAAATCTCTGACTCAAAATTCTTCTGCGTGCCAACCCTAATTTTTTGAGAGCATGTTACGCCTACTTGATATCTCTTAAGGTGTACGTATGTGAAGAACCTTGAAGAAATAATAAAATTCATTCGCGCGACAAAAACACAGTATATGATGATGAAAAATACATTTATTTTTTAATATATACATGTACACTGATAGTCCGACAGAAAACTTTATGACTCCGTTTGATATTATCCAGTGGGACTTTTGCTGCTGCATCACTGGTGACAGAGATTTTACATCAAGTTTATATTTCTTGACCTTCAGAGATATGCACGAGCTACTACTTTCATCCGTCAGGCTACTCCTATTATGAGACTTAACAAAATTCATCACTGAGAACAAAGATTCACAAGTGTATGTGGATGAAACCAAAACACTGGTCGGATCTAGGAAGGCAGGGAGAATTAAGGCAGAGGCATAGAAATTGCTCTTCCCCTCTCTCGTCAATCCATTTCTAAGGTCTTTAAGATAACTTGTTATGTAAAATTATTTATTTATCTAAGCTGCACCTACACTGAATTTATCTGAAAAATAAAAAAGTCGATATTAAGAAAAAAACTCTAAATGGAAGATTATAAGAGAGGGTTTTGCGTGCCAGCAAAAGTTACTGGCATGCCATGTTTGGCACGCGTGCCAGGGGTTGCCTACCCCTGAACTAGGAGGTCACAGTTCCATTCCTGGTCAGGGCACATGGCCTGGTTGCTATCTCGATCCCCAGTAGGGGGCGTGCAGGAGCCAGCTGATTAATGATTCTCCCTCATAATTGATGTTTCTATCTCTCCCTCTCCTTTCCTCTCTGAAATCAATAAAATCATATTAAAACAAAAACAAAAACAGTGGGAACACAAAGTTCTAGGGAAAAGAAAAGTGACTCAGCAGAACCTAAAACACATCTGGCAGGGTATAGTTAGTTAGTCATGGAAAATTTGGCAATCATGATTATGCATTTTGTAAAAATAATTATATACTAGTCCAACTGCGAACATTTAGGCCAAAATTAAATAGTTGAAAGCCCATACAATGAAATCTATATGCTGGTCATTCAAAATCTTTCTATTAAAGTTCAAAGAAAGCTTTGACAACTAAGTGATCACATAGCACCAGTATTCTGAAAAGTATAATTTTAGAGAAAAAAATCTTCCAGGTCAAATTAGGCAAGGATTAGTATATTCAGTATACAACTATATAAATTTAAGTCTTATCAAACTACTTGTCACTTTCATTTTGATAACAGTGAATATTATTTTTTATTCTCAACATACAATAGTGACAAAATAAATAAAAACATAAATGTAAATTGTGGATATTATTACTTAACAATTAATACATTTTGTTCCATACAAATAAAA